ATCCTTGCGTATGCTTCTTGCAGAAGAATCATAGTTCGACAGTGAACAAGTTGAATAGAGCACGAGGATTTAGTTAAATCAGAAATGTTACATGCCAGTTACACGAGTTTACAGCGAAGCTTTTAGCGTCCAAATACAAAGAGGAAGGAATCAGAGTCTTCTGTTTGAAACGTGGACACAGCCACTCGAAGGCTCGTCCTTATTTCGACGGTTTTATGTCGATCGCTGCTCGTGACAATCGATATTCCGTAGAATCGGTACACTTCTGTCGGCGACCGGTTCTCGGCGCTTCAAACAAATCGCGGATGTTAATTCGAGAGCAGCAGATACTCTTGTTTGATTGGTCGGTCGATGGGGGCGGATGCTGACTCGGAGCGATTCCCAATCTCTTCGATGGTGTTTGAACACCGGCGTCTTTTCCTTCTGTGAATTGCGAAGGAATCGCGAGCAACGATCCTGCATCCGATTCACTCAAACGATGATTGTTCCATACTGTCAACACTAGATCCACGGAACCCGTCAATTTGACGGATATTGAATTTTTCAAACAATATTTGCTGACAGTATAATCCTCTGTTTTCCACACTTTAATTTTTAAAATAAATATCTATAAATCTGGTGTTAACGCTAAAACTACCGAGCAATCGACTTTTCTAAATTTCCCTATAGAAGCAAGACATCTGTTCAGACTTTAACCCTTTGAACTCTGTAGGCTCCAATATTGCACCAGTAGGAAAACCATACAGCAAAGGGTTAAATACCAAAAATTGCTAACTTGCTAAAAGAAATGAAGTATAGATCTAAGAATTCGGTTGGCGTCGAAACAAGTGTTTATAAGTAAAAAAATTTGTTCGAAGTATTAGCCCTTTGAACTCTGTAGGCTCCAATATTACAGTTTAAGAAATGTTATAGCACTTCTCATTTTTGCTAGAAGTACTATAAAAATTAATTGCATTCTGATAGATTACAAACTGGAGTGCTAAGGGTTAATGATAAACAATAAAATAAATCCAGCGACAGCAATCGCAAATTCTAAGGCGAAGAGTTAAATATCAAAAGATGCTAATCAAGGGTTAATTGATCTTCAATTCATCAATTTCCCTAATAATTTCTCACAGGAACATCTATTACCTTTATAACGATAACAACAAAAAGAACTCACAGGTAACTTTCACCTAATTCCAGTGTCAAACGACGAGTGTACACGAGATTCGACAAAAGCAGTGTCGTAATCCAAGCAAATCGGCTTCTAAACTCGAATTTTTACCAGCCCCTCCGGAATCCGGTATGTTTGCTCGGTAATGTTGCTCTAAGTCGATATTACTCGATGCTGCACGCCTGGTAATGTTATAGCAGCTCGCGCCGGTTGGCGAAACGCGATAAGTCTCCCGTGCGCGACGCTGCATCGCGAGCCGGCGGTTTTATGCACCTTTTTTTCCCCGCGTGTCCTTTACGACTATCGATTACCATTCCGTTGAGAGTGCTACCTTGTCGATTGCTCTAATACGATACGTTTTTATCGGGGTATCGCGGAATGTGTTCCAACTGCGGAAAATTGTCGTGGATGGCGCTGGATAGACGGGCTCGCGAATGGCTTTGAAAAGGCGCTTTAATGCGATACAGAGCGTCCATAACCGTGAGATACGTGAGACGAGTTTCTATTAGATCGGCTTTCAAGTCGGACTCTCTGCCATTTGATTTCTAAACTTTATATAACGTTATTTCTCGCTAAATGGTAAGTTTCACAGCATGATATATGAATAGAGAAACAAAACAGTGAGTATTTAGATATTACTTCTCATAAGTAATGGTGTTTCTCACTTCGTAAGATATTTTTCGAACGGTGAAAGTATAGAATAACTAGGTTTAACGAATACACGTGTATTAGTTTATGTTAATTGGTCAATAGTTTTCAATTCTTGGATATTTCTTATTTACATTAGTCACTTGTAAGTAATCGTTTTTCGAGGAATAAGTACTAGGTTCAAAATAGTATCTTAATTATTACAAGCATTTCTATATCTGTTACCAATGCACCGTCACAATGAAACATGACAAAAACATCTACGACATACCAGAAAAACAGAAACTTTCAAATTTCCCGCACAACTACCAAGAGACGTACAAACAGAATTCACTCAAACTAAAAACAAAACGAGAACTTTCCGAGTGGTTTTAAAAGACCCCGGCAGAACCGCGCGCGCCATAAAATTTTCGGCCATCCGGTGGGACGGCGGTTCCCTCCCGCTTTTATCGCCGGAGTAAAAAGGTTCCCGCATGTGAAAAACCGCGGGAAGCTCGTCACGTAGATCGAAGACGTTCGATCGTAAAGGATAGGGCGGGGGCGGAATTCCTTTGAGCCGCGAAATTGCTCGTTCCCTTCTCGATAGGCGGCGTTAAGTCCCGGCCCCGGGAAAACCGGGCGAGAAGAAAAAGTCGTCGGCGCAAAGGGAAAAGCGGCGCGGCGCGGCGCGGTAAAAACCGGGGTAATATTAGTGAACGCCGCGGAGGGCGGAAAGCGCGGCGCGGAAAAGCGGCGATTCTTTTTGCTCGCGTCCTCGTGAAGTTCTTAATTAAATTCAGCTAGCTGCCGGGCCACGGGGAAAAAGTCTCGAGGAAAGCCGTTGAGCTCGCGAATTAAGGTTTTCTGCGAGCCGGGCGGGAAAAGGGAGGATCAGCTTGAAAGAGGCGCGGGTGGGACGGGGCCCTCTCGACCATCGGATCCTCTTTTCGAGTTGAATTATTCCGCGGGACAAGTGGTTCCGTTTCCGCGTGAATAAACAATGGATTCTGAATAATTGCGGCGAATCGGCCGGCTTTCAGCGCTTCCGTATCGGGGAATCCGCGTAGCAGTGACTCTTCCGCGTTGGCCGAATGGTTTTTCATCGTATAGAACGGGGAATGAAATGGAACTCGGTTAAGGGCGGTTCGCTTTGGTAATAGAGGACGGATTCGAGAATTAGTCTCGAGATTGTAGTGAATGCGGAGATCGAGGGGATCAGTTTTTATTGGAGGATCGCGTTCGAGTGGAGGAAGATTGATTTTCAGGTTTGGTATTGGTTGCGGAAATGAATTGAATGATTTCGATTCAACACCCTGTAGTCCAGTTGCGGGCTACCATTACGAAGCCAACGCGTGTTCGAAAACAGTCGAATCCCGTAGAGTCCCGCTCCGACAAGATGGCGCGCACCGTGAGGACCGAGCGGCACGACTCTTCCACTCGTTCGGTCCGCCTCGGTCTTCGACGCATGATTGTCATTGGCGCGCGACAATGACAAAGGACGGGCGAGATATTATGATAGGGACCAAGGTCCTAGTACCCCCAACTTTGTTCAGTTACCACTGCCCTGCGAAGCCAACACAAAATGTCCGCTTTCGTTGCATTGTCGGCGGACGTGGTACTAATTATCACAGGTTCATGGGACCTGTTCGGTTTCTTAGATACGTGAGTAAGCAAAATCTGCCTTATCGAAGTATCTTGTAGATAACAGAACTTGGTTGGCTTAGCTCGGGCACTCTGGGATCGCCACTTCCCATATTACGGTCGATAGTCGAATAAAGGTGAACTCGCGAACTCCCTTTGACACCTCGTTTTCTTCTCGTCAACTATTATACTTAAAAGGAAATATAGGCGTAACGTATGCCCAGAATTTTTCTCTTGTTCCAATAAATTACTAATGACAAAGTAGCCGTATCGGTCGGAGTTGATAAAGAAATCATAGGCAGAGTTAAATATATTTATTACGCGATGTGGCTCTAACGAGGATCGGCGACTAATTCTCTAATTTTCCTCACCTGCTCTTCCAAAAAGGAAAACTCAGTCTTCAGGCCAACATGACCCAGGTCATGGTGGTCCCTTGGTCATAAATCTGTCACTGGGTCTGGACTATCTCTCTCCCCAAGTATCGACAAGCAAAAGGGCCATCTACAGAATATAAGGAAAGTTTCGAAAAACTTATAAAAATCGGCTGCAAGTTAATCGCAACTGAGGGAGTCAAGGGAGATCACCGTGGGATCCCTATTTATAGGGATCACTTCAACATACGTGCGCCGAGTGTCGTGACGCTCCTCCATAAAACATTGAAATCCACCGCGATAGGCGGGGGTGACTCGCGGCCCGATAGATCGGAGCTTATTTCGTCGAATAAAGGGTCGTCTTAATAACGAGACTTGGAACGCTGCCCCGCGCCCGGCGATCCCGCGATTCAACAAATTTCACTCCCGCCAGCTGATACCCTTCGGGCAAGACCCTCCTTATTGCGGCTCGGGTCTTATCCCCGGGAAAATGACGGTAATATTTGTCAGCGCGGAGAGTTAAGGCCGCTCGTTGGATTTTAGAAATTGAGCTGTTCATTGGGGGAATCGGTTAACTCCCGTTTTGGAATTTTTCGGGGCTTCTCGTTGGCTCTGGGCTTCGCGTGTTTAACCATAGATTCATGGAACCCGTCAGTTTGGGAATTGAATGTATTAGCCCTTTAACTTACAATCGCGTGTCGGACTCGAGATGGAAACTTTAAAATGAATTTGAGAGGTCTAAGTGTTGTTTGTTGTTTTTGAAGATAAATTAGATTTTACTTTTCTACTGTCAATCGTTAACCTTTGGAGTAGCTGTAGATTAAGTTTGAAATTAAGGATGAAGTAGTTGCATCGATCATAGTTCTGAAATAAATCATAAGGCAAGGGGTTAAATGTATTATTCCGTAAGAATTTGAGCCGATTTTGATCGATGCAATTATAGAATTTATATTATGATTCTATGTTCTTGGCGAACTAATTTTCACTATCTATGTGGACAAACGTGTAGTCTTCTAGGGACGTTAGAATAAAGTTGAAATAAACCGTATATCTAGGGTTGAAGAAGATTTTTTTATTATTGTGGTAATAACAAAAATTACTTCGAAGTTTCTACAATAAAATATGTGCTATAATGATTATTTAATTTTCTATTTAAACGAAACGACTCGCAGCGACTGTCGATAACACATACTTCAATGTTTCAGGCACCTCGTTCACGGACACGGAGTCAAGGCAGCGAAGCTGAACAGTGGGTAAGTTTAAAATATTTCAAAGGAAAATTACGAATTATTTCGTTATTCACGTAATATTTTCGACAGAAGAAACGAACGAAGAAGTACAGTTCTCAGTTAGTTTAGACTTACGATTTCACCTAATTGATATTTCATTCTAAATTACTCGAGTATAATATCCGACGTTTATTAATCCATTGTGTCCGATCCAACCGCGATCACCGTTTATTTCCACAAAACCGAGTGAAACCGGTAACAATCATTATAAAAGTGCACACGAAATCTCGTTTGCCCCGAGTCCGTTACAAACCGGCCGCTCCCCGCGGGTTGAAAGGCTCAACTTATTCGATCAAGTGTAAATTGAGTTTCCACGGGCATTACTGGATTAATAGCGCCGTAATCGGCCGACACCCTCGAAACATTATACGCGTTTCGAGCGTTTGACCTCCACGTTCACGAACATTACACAGGTATTCCCTCCGAAATTGCGCGCACTAAGTTCAAACACCGTTCCCATTGAAAAGCATCCCCCAACTAGTAACACAGAAAACGCGGTCGGTTCTCGAATCTCCGGTAACAACCTTACATTAGCAACCGAAACATTTATCCTAATTCGAACATTAGTACAAGATTTCTACGCAAACTTTTCATTCAAACACAAATCTCCATAAAACCGTTCGAAACTCGCAAACATAACAAACTTGACTATCCTCGTAATTTCCTTCATTTCAAATTCCTTTCGCGTGAACGTTTCCTAACATTTCCAATAGTAAGAAGCGTCACATACAGTTTCGCGCGATGCAAAGATAGCTAAAAGGTTCAAACGTTCAGCTTGACTCAAGTCGCAGGTCAAGATGTTAATCGACCTCTCATAGATCGTCACGCTAGTAGCTCCGAAGAAACAATTTGCAGCCGAATTTGTAGCAGCGTTCAGCGATCGTGAGTCCGGCCGTCGATCCCGCGGATAATAAAACGTTTACGAGCCCGGTGATTCACGGTGAGCGGAATAAAACGTTACGAGTGGCGCGAGAACAGTATCAATCTTCGGCGGCGGGAAGTTCTTCGGAAAATAGGAATGGCCGCGTGTCGCGGATCGGTTTCGCGGGGACAGGAAGAAGAGGGTCGCGGCACCGAGCGGAATTTATGTCGCCCGGAATCCATAACCGCCGCGCGTACCTCGCTGTTTACCCGAAAAACTTTTCCATCTGCGCTTCACCGACGATTCCCTCCCTTTCCCTCGGCCGGTTCCTCCGCGTTAGTTCCTAATACGCGGCTGCACCGCTCCGACAACCGCCGTTCCCTCGTTTCACTTTATTTTTAAGGAACCCCAAGTAATTCCGAGTTTACTGCGAGCTTACGACCGCCCGGCGCAAACGGTTTTTGCGAAACTCGTGTTCCCCGTATGCCTGATTGATGCTTACGGCTCGACAGCACTCCTTCTGCGGAAGAATGATGGATTTTTGTTTACCTTGGAAGGTGAATATTCATGCGGCGCACTCCGTGGATGCTGAAATTGCGTTCGTTTACGTTTCGAGATCTTCTGTTAGATTGACGCGTGAAATTGATTAAAGCTTCTAATGGGAAAGAGCTCGAAGTTGGATACTGGTGTGTATGTTGATTGAAAGGTTTTAGGAATGTAATGGGACGTTTCTGAAGGAGCGTTGATATTGGATTATTTCTGTTTTGTAATTATTTTACTGTTTTGGCACTCGTTTGATACACTTTTTTAAGATCTAATGTTTGGTTTTTGGAACATGGTTGTAATATGGTTTTTAATAGGTATTTGTTGGGATTCACGGGGAATAATTTTTTTGAGAATATTGTTGAATATAGAATTCGATTGTAAGCCGCGATTTTAAGGGTTCTCGAAGCTTCTTTTGTGCATAACAAGTTCTGCTGGTCTCGGATCGAGGCAAATTGGCGAGATTGCTTCTCGCACGGTATCTGGAAGAGCAGACTCGTGTTTGCAGTCTTCTAACTTACTTTCTGCTTCTGCATTTTGACAGGAGCGCCAACTTTCCGGTCCCTCTGGCCAGAACTGATGCACTCGGTTTGTCTGCTGCTCGCCGTTTTCCTCTGTGGAATTTATAATTTCGCGTATTTCGGCGGAAACCGAACGTCGGTTCACTTGCGGAGGATAATACTTGCATATTTTTATGTACCTCCGAGTGCGAAGAATTGTGATTAATCTCTCAACTACGATCGATGCATCTACTTTATCCTTAGTAACTTCTCAGACAAAGAAACAATTCCCTGATTAAGATAAGTCTAAACACGATGTGAATCGGTTCAGTCTCACCGATTCCAAGGAAACCACCCTTTAACTATACTAAGTACATTAAGTCCATAAACTACTCCGATTTACATCGTGTTTAGACTTATTTCACTCATTTCGAGGAACGTTAAGTCCTCGATGACGTCGCGGATTAGCCGCGCCGCTTATCCGCTCCACACGGCAGACGGATTTCCGCCCGAAAGTTTCAGGGAAGAATTCGCGCGCGCCGTGTCGCGTTTTGTCGCAGCCAACAGCGACCGCTTCCGGGGACGGATTCGAGCCGCCGGGGTGACGAACGAATCCATCCGCGATTTCGCGGCGCGCCGCTTCTCAAAGTGTCGCGTTTCAAACTTTTCTATCAACCCCGTTGCGATCCGCGATTTATTTCGCCGGCGATACGCGCGAGGACCATTTTTTCCCCTCTGCACAAACATTCCGCGGGAATGGACGGCGTTCGTTCCTTTGAAACGCCGGATTTCGGGGGACAAAACCGCGAGAGAGCCGTCGAAATCGAAAGAATCCCGTGGAATCCGAAACCGTTGAAATGCGAGTTTTACGGTTAACAAAGCGGGAGTTACTGTTGGAATTTGTTTTATTGATACGGGGCGGTTTGATCGAACCTGCGATTACGGTTTCGGGAAACGAGCAGCTTCCTTTTTTTAATCGGACGGGTAAATTAAACTCGATGGATTCAATTTTCCAGGCGGTTTTCATTAAAGGGTAACGAGTTTAACTTTTTATCCGGAGAATTTCATTTTCTATGTTTGCTCCCGATACGCGGAATTTGATTTCAAATGTATTCCCCGGTGGAACGATCCCTCCGATTTTCCCCTCGATTTTCGGTCGGGACTTTGTTCCAATTATTACTTTGGCTAGGAGTCACTTTAGGTTACAGAGAAATTAGCTTCTAGATTTCCTCTGTATTACTACAGAAAAACTTGAATAGTGGAATCATTTGTTTGCAAATGCAAATTTGATCTCGGAGTGTCGACATTCGTTCGCAAAGGGTTAAAACACTTCCTCTCCATTAACCCTTTAAAATAACGTGTCAACCTCGTAATATAAATCTGCAATTGAGTGCAACAAATCTGACTGCCACTTATATTTTTAACATAAATTCAATATTACTCCATCACGAATCTTCAACATTTCTAGTAAACCTGAACCCAGAATAAATATATTCTTTCCTTTTCTCCTAAATTATTCACGATAAAATTGTTAGTTTCCCCTAGAAAACTGCCGTTTAGCCGCACTGTTCGGCGAAGCAGCCCTAAAAACCCTTACAATACCAGGTCCAGTCGATATATTCCGTCGCGAGCGTCTTCGGCCGAGAATGGTCTCTATAAATCACACCGAGGCGGAGAAAGTGAATAAAAGTGTCTTCGGTTTCGCCGGATAAACAAGAAAGATAGTCCGCGAGACGGCAAATGGATACGAGGCGCGTGCTGCGTACGTGGAAGAGAAATATCACCTGGCAGTATAATTTCCATGGGGTTCGGGTCAGCTTTCCGCCGATTGGTTTCGCGCGTCGACGCAACGCTGCGCGTGTGAAACGTGAATTTCGTTTGACTAACGTATGTATATAGTACAGTGAATCACGTAAACACGCGGTCGCCTATCGTTCGACAGGATAGTCGCTACTATTTTATAAACTCCGGTCTATAAACATCTCTGACAACGAAAACCGACCTTAGCCAATGCTGCGCAGTTATTCGCCACATCTGCATCTAATTGAAAAGTATTGGATATTTCAAGTGGAAAACTAAAATAAAAGCAAAGGATTGATACTGACGATTACTGTTGTAATTGTAAATAAATATGGAGTGTTTTTAGATGAAGATCATCGTTTTTATTCTATTCTTTCGAGTAGAAAACTAATCGTCAGAATGAAACTCTTGATTAGGTGCTATTTATTTATTTATTTATAATAGTGATACGTTGTCTAAGTTTTATAATAATTAAGAATATTAGCGAGCTTAGTGGTCTGAGATTAAAAACAGTTTATATATGAAAAATTTATCTTCTTATTTCGCGTGAGAGAATAATTACGAATGCGTCAAAATGGCGTCTACCGCGTGGACGTTTTATTAGTACACGCCAGCAGTGTTATAACGCTGCTGTAAAGTGTTGATCATGTTAATTACAGTCGTTCGAGTTATACCTTCGTATTTATTCGCGGAAAATTACCCTATTAACGAGTTAAATAACCGTTAACCGACGCTGTTAGCAATCAACACATCTGCGTGGGCGTTCTAGGCGGATTCTTCCATAGCGATCGTTCGTCCGCATTCATTATTATGCATGCAGTCTAATTAGACGATTACTTCGGTAGGATTGCCAATGTGCAGTCTCGATGCCGAGCAAATCGCTCACAGCAGTTAGCATGCAGTCTCTAATTAATCCTTGTAAATGGTCCCGTGAACGCAAACACGGACGCGACGTGTCCACCAGAGGATCCGTGAGTTATTGGAGCCACCGGGAACATCCGATTAATAACGTAATGATTTTTCTTCATAATTCGTTCCTCTTCGAACTTCCGTTCTAATTAACCGTATCGATCCTCTTAATTAAGTCAACACGAACAGTGAAGAATATTATAATTGCAAGAAGAGAGAAAGCAATGATTGGAAATTGATCTCCTTGAGAGTTTATTTCCCTAATTAAATCGAATTAACACGTTGCCACGCGACTTCAAAGAGCAAAGTACATGGAATAATATAAATCATTGAATTATTATTGCTCTCAT